GTGCAGTGCTCCTCTGAGTGTTGGTCCGAACTAGAGTCCTGTGCAGCGCCCCGTCGGGGAAACTCGAGGTTTGGTTTTAGTTGTACGGAGCGCTCATCTGAGTGTGCCCTGAGAACGAGATATGTGCAGCTCCTATCGGGATTTGTCGGCACATTCGGGCGGTGTTGCTGAATTTGTTTTTTACCTTGTCGAAATGTCTTGTAACCGGGATTCCGAGTCTGATCGGGTCTTCCCGCTAGAAGGAATATCCTTGGTTGACCGTGAGAACTTGTTATGGGCTAAGTTGGGACACCCCTGCAGGGATTTGAACTTTCGAAAGCCGTGTCCGCGGTTATGGGCAGATGGGAATTTGTTAATGTTCGGTTGTAGAAAACCTGAAGTTGACCTTAATTAAAAATACATCAACCGCGTGTGTAACCGTGATGGTCTCTTTCCGGCGGAGTCCGGGAAGTGAACACGGTGTTGGAGTTATGCTTGACGTAGGTTGTTTTAGGATCACTTCTTGATCATACTTTTATTGACCGTGCTTTGCCTTCTCTTCTCGCTCTCATTTGCGTTTGTTAGCCACCATATAGGCTAGTCGCTTGCTGCAGCTCCACCTCATACCTTTACCTTACCCATAAGCTTAAATAGTCTTGATCGCGAGGGTGCGAGATTGCTGAGTCCCCGTGACTCACAGATACTTCCAAAAACCAGTTTGCAGGTGCCGATGAGTCCGTGCAGTTGACGCAACTAAGCTCAAGGAGGAGCTCGATGAAGATCTTGTCCTTGGTGTTGTTTCGTTCTAGTTGATCAGTAGTGGAGCCTAATTGGGGTCGATCGGGGACCTTGTCGCATTTGGGGTTCTTCTTTATTTTGGCTCCGTAGTCGGGCCCTGATTGTACTTGGATGATGTAATGCTTTATTCATGTAATTGTGTGAAGTGGCGATTGTAAGCCAACTATGTATCTCTTTTCCTTATGTATTACATGGGTTGTGTGAAGATTACCTCACTTGCGATATTGCTTTCAATGCGGTTATGCCTCTAAGTCGTGCTTCGACACGTGGGAGATATAGCCGCATCGAGGGCGTTACACAATATCTCCTCCTCGTCGTCGGACGAATCGTCAGAGTCGCAAAGGAAATTGTGGAAAAAGAACTCGTCGGCGGAGTCCATTTTCGTACCTTGGCAAACTGTTGAAAAGCTTGCGGGCGTCGAAGAAGGAGACGACCGGCGAGGGGAGACGCGGCGCCCACAGACTAGCTAGCTGCCCGGCCGGCGTCCGGCGAGGGTGACGGCGTCCGACGAGCGTGTCGGTCGTCTGTGGCTGGGGCGGTGAGGCGTCTTCTTGGTCGCGGGGCGGCTGGGCGTGGGGGAAACAGCGGCGGGGAACCAGCTTGTTCCCCGGCGGCAAAACGGCGGCGGCGGGCGACTGGGGGCAGGGGCGGCGTTGCTGGACGGATGTGGAGGCGGCGGTAGCTGGAAGAGTCGCCGGCAAAATGGGCGGCGCCATCGCGGAGGAGGCGGGGGGCGAGGGTTGCTTGTTGGCTGGGGGAAGGGAAGGCCAATGTGCCACAGACGAGCGGGCCCGTGGACAGGAGTAGGCGAGCAAGCGCGCGTCCGTCCGTGTCTGCGCCGACGCAAATCAGGCTCAAAAATGGGTCGGAAATGGATCGCCCGCCGACGAAAAACGGACGCGCGTCCGTTTGGGTCGGCGCGTTGGGCCGCCTTTTCTGTCCACACCGACCCAAACGAACGGCCGCGGACAAAATGGGTTGCCCCATTGAAGTTGCTCTAACTCCTTCCTACGGTCTTATCCAGGAAATGTGGACAAACCAAGGCACCAGAAACAGAAGGGGGGCTCCATGGAGTGTGCCTTGGCAATACAAGACGAAGGGCGGATGCAGACGCCATAATGAAGAAGATTATTAGTACTAGTACTACTAATTATGGAGAACACGACTCTAGTGGCGCTGCGCAGATTACGGACATTGGATACCATCATTGGCTTAATGACAAAATCTGCCAACTTCCGCGGCTAAATTTTCCTTGCTCCAGCTTTAACACGAAGATTTCTTTCCAGTTCATCTGTCACTTGGTTGACAAGCTACGTTTTCATAGTCCGAAAGAAGCTACCAAAACATAGTTAGCAGGGGACGGCTCACAAAACATAAATAAGGGACTGGAATATTCCGTGAATAAATGAGCACACAAAATTAGGGTAGCTGGAAGCTACTGATAATCGTATGGTAAAGAAACACGTACAGACCAAGTTCACATCTACTGAATGCAGGTGCCGCATAATACGTATAATTCGCATCCTTTTAACACTGCCTAAAGAAGTTCTGTTAGCAGAAGAGAACCAAGTTTTCATTTTTTGCCCTGAACTATGACAGTCGTCAGTAAGTCATCTGAAGAAAACGCAAAGGCAGAACATCAAAGTCAACACGAGAATCATTAACCACGAACAAAAAGTCTGGCTGCTCAATCTGATTTTCGAGGGGAACAGCTCGTACTTATATCACGAGGTACACAACGACGGTTTTTCTGTTCCAGATGTTCTCCCATCTATCTTTTACCTTAGGGCAGCAAAACATCCTCAGCCTTCGAGCATTGCCTTGGCTGCATCAATCAGTGCAGGCCTGAAGCTATCAGAGGCTCGGCCAAGGACAGTGTAGCCCTCCTTGTCTTCAATGTCAACATCGGCACCATGTCTGATCAGCAGAAGGGCAACCTAAAAAGGCAATTATAAAACAAGAATCAGCGATACAAGTAATCCACATCTATTTACAAAAGATATCAGAGAACAATTAACCAATGCAGATGGAAATTTTCTAAACGAATCAACTCGTGGAGATGTCAGGATTATTCCTTGACTTATGAAATTCAATGGGCTGCTAATGAACTAAGTAGTCTACATAGTTGAACACCAAGTAGGTGAAAATATTAACATCATTGTCCTGAACTTTTAACTAATATAGTACAACTTAAGTGAGCAGTTAAGGTGTACCTACGATGCAACACATAAAAATATACACAGAAGCTGCAAGCCACCAACCATTTGAAAGAGCATCAATATAACCTATGAATACAATGAGGTGGTGCATCGTTATAACACAATAATCAGCAATAGAAGTAACCCACATCCATTTACGAAGGAAATCAGAGGACAATTAATCAATGTACATGGAAATTCTGAAACAAATCAAAACTTGTGGGCATGTCAGGATTATTCAGACTTTCAAACAAACCAACAAGGGTGACCTTTGAACAAATCAACATGGGCCGCTAATGAACTAAGTAGTTTAATTAGTTGAGCACCAATTCAGTGGAAATACCAACATCATTGTCCTGAACTTTTAACTACAACTTAAGTGAACAGTCAAAGGTGCACCTACCATCCAACACATAAACACATATACAGAAGCTCCAAGCCTCTAACCATTTGAAAGAGCATGAACGTAACCTATGAATACAATGAGGTGGTGCATGAAAGCAAAGGAAATATTACCCCTCTGTCCTCACATATGACGGCATGCATTAGAGGTGATTGTCCTAGCTTGTCAACTGCATCAATATCTGCGCCTTCTTCAAGCAGGTATTCACACAGCTCAGCATTTCCAGTACTCGCAGCTCTATGCAGGGGTGTGCAGCCAAACTGACAAGATAGTAGTTCAATGTTTTACATGTTTGCCAAATTACTTCAAACACAACTTCACTCATAATGTACAAAGCAGTGGACAAATGTAACAGTTAATACTTTAAGTTAACATAATATTTGTAGATATAGATGGTTGTCTACACCATAGTCAACTTATATGCCCGAATGGCATCCAGAGGACAGCAATTTCTTGCAAAAGTAAATTTCTACAAAATAAAAAAATAAAAAATTACACTGTAAACATTTCAGCTTTCTCATACAATTTCATTTGCAGTTTTATATTCATAGATCATATCACAACCCTCCCGGTAAAAATATTTCATTCTCTTCATGGGCTTGAGGTGGTTGTACAACCAGCCATAAGCACTTAAATTACATGGAACCAGATTTGAGAGTCCATCCATGGTATTCCTTCTAGATCATTAGAAGTTTACAAACCTTATCTTTCTTGTTGACATTTGCACGATGAGCTATCAGCGTTTCAGCAATGTTAAGCCTTCCTTTACTAGCAGCATAGTGAAGAGCAGTTCGGCCAGCATCAGTAGTCAAATCAACATTTGCACCTGGCATATATTAAATTTATAACTCTAGTTATGTCTGTTACCAGGAACTCACAGAAAGGTGAAGATTAGACTATTGCGATATCAAATTCATACAGATGAATGGAGCGTAAACTCATTTAAGAACAGCAAGCATAGCATAATGCTTATAACAGAAGACATATCTACAGCAGGGAGGTTTTTTTTTTACAAAAGTAGCAGGATGGCTGATAATTTCATCACAATATACTGCAAATAAAGAACGAACAAGAAAAATGACAAACTGGTGTGG